TATATATATATATATATATATATATCAGAAAACAGATGTGAAGGATCAAAAGTGTAAAGTTAGATGCAGGCGCCAGAAAGAGTCGAAGCGCCAAAGTTTGCGCGTGCGTACCGGGTCAGCTTCTTTGTTTTTCCGCCGCATCAGACGACCGACAGTAAGCGCCGATTGACAAGAGTTTTCCAGCGGAAAAACAATTATTTCAGTCAAAATTGATAATTTAAAATATCATTGCGTTGTCATGCTAATGTCTGCAATCTCAACTTGATTCTTGTTCTTCCTCTGTCGATCATTCATTTTGATCTCCGCCCCTGTCATTCACCACTTAAACTACCGACTTATAAATGATGCAGACTCACCTAAACGGCGTAAATGACGTCTGTAAGAAGAGCATCATGGGAAGTGTATTTTTTGTGGTAATACTAGTATACTTAATAAATTAATTGAAAATTATTAAATTATTTTAATAAATATATTTCCAACAATGACAAGAAATTAAGACGTACTAATAAAAAATAATATATGATGGACATTTTAAAATATTCCTAAGCATGTGAACTTGTGGGTAAAATTCTGATTATTTATGTTGCCAATGCTGACTTTTGTTGTAGTGCTTTACCGGTTTAATCAAGGCAACAAACTACATCCACATCCACCACACACTCCAACCCTTCCAGCCGTTTGCAAACTAGAAAGTGCAGTTTATATTTTCCTTTTTGCACTAACTTTGTTTTTGCACAAGGCACATATCACTTTTTGTTTGTGTCCCTACTTTCCATTGCTGTGGTTACTGCTGTTTTATTTTAAGGATTTATTTTTTTTTATCTACCTTCTTGTTGCTAAATTGTATTGCTGTGTGTTGGGAGATGTGTAAAGTAAGAACTCCATCGCATGTTGTAAACACTTTTACTTCTGTGCATATGACAATAATAAATTAATCTGAATCTAAATAATGAAGTCTATCATCTGTCCCCAAATCAAACAAGTTACTGCAACCTGTTTTTTTGTTTTTTTTAATGTACTTTGTGTTTTGCACCTTTAGAGGGCAATGCAGGTAGGAATAATGGAAATGTTTGAGTATTTTCAGAAGTATTTTAACAATTACAGGATATTAAACATCCTAAACGTAATTTAATTATTATAAGATAGAGGACCACTGAGCAAATAAAAAAGTACTTTTTGTACAGATCCTGGCAATCATGGATTATTAAAAAAAAAGACAATTCTTTCTTTTTTTTTAAAAGCTAAATAATTCTCATGTTTATGCCGCTCTAGACACTTCATAGTTTCTATAAATATCATTTTCTTGACCATTTAAAAGGACATTTTTCAAAGGGGTCTGTGTGGTGTCCTGTTTCATCCCACCTCACTTTAATCTGCTTTAAAGTTGGCTAAATTAAATTTACATTTATTTTGCTTACTTTACTTGAAAATAAATGCTGATGTAAAGGTATTAGGGATAAAAATGGGATGATTGCTGTCACTTTCTGACTCAATGTGTCCCCTTTTCTTTTCCTTTCAGTGCGACACCATGACACATCATTAGAAGAAAATATAAAAAGACATATTAGGTAACAAAGATCTTGCTTAACCCTCATATTATTAGTTAAATGCCATGTTCAAGAGCAATTTAAAGCAATCAGACCCATGTGCATGTGTATAATCTGTCATCATATTATTTTTAATATAAAGTGAGTGCCTGAATTGGCAAACACTTTGTATGTGATGCTGGAAACTGATTTATTAGGATTCTGCAGCATCACTGACGTGTTAATAATGAGCCGCACAAGAGAAACAGTCAGTCAAATGTACAAAGACAACATTAAATGTCAGTATAGGGTGGGTTAGCTGAAGGGAAACTCAGTGTACAATAAATCTAGGTCAGCCTGCTGTCAGGTCGGCCTGCACTATAGGTCACCGTCTGGGGATCTCGTAAAAGTCACTGCATCGCCAGAAGATCAGTGAGCTGCTGTCTCTGAGCTTTGTCACCTTCGGTCAGGAAGATGCTGGTGAAATACGGGCCAGCGGAAAACATCTGGGAGCATCCTGAACACACGAGTGAGCCAGCGCTCTTTTATTACAGTAAAACATGCAACCTGCCTAACGGGCACATAAACACCAACATTTGTGCTTTTAAAGGGAATGCACGACTAACAAAGATGAATTTCTTTCAAGCGAGTTCAAATTGACATATTTGTCTTGTCTGTCTTCGTGTCAGGCGGCAGGAGCGGGTCTTTTCACATCTATTATCCATTAATGAAAAAAGCACTTTGTAACAGTTGGGCAGTTTCCTCCATTTCTGCCGTGCATGCTCGCCATGCTCCATTTCCCCTCCACATTGCTGCTGCTGCTCACATCTCTGTCATACTTCAGACTGATGAAACCATCTGTCCAATGAGCTGCAGGAGCCGCGCTACATCCCCCCCCGTCTTTGAAATACACGGAGCAGTCAGAGCTCTGAGTTTATCTCTAGAGGAACCAAACTGATCAAACTCGGTCAAAGGGCATCATGTTGTGTCTGAACCTTTACAAGGACCTCGCCATGATGAGTGACCCCTGAACAGAGACAGCCCGAGGCCTTCTGAGGTCACAAACCTTCAAACACATACAAATACTGCTGAAGTCAGACTGAAGTCCCTCCGGCTGCTCTAAAATGTTCATTTCTTTCCAGAAAGACGAGACAAGACAACCCCCCCACATTCGAAGTGTCATTGGCGAGTGTTCAGATTAAACGAAACAAGTAAACGCCACATTTACTGAACTTATTTGGTTTGAAAGTCAAATAAACAAAGATCTTATGTGTTCTGTTAGCGCTCAGAGTGTGTGTTAGGGATCACTCTCAGCTACTACCACACCAGATTCTAATAAACGCCCTCCTTTTGAGGTGGTAGAATGTCAGCCAGATTTAACGTCACCAGTTCAAAGGTTTTTTTTTAGCAGGGAGAAGATTCATGTGGCGACAGCTTTTAATAAAGAAATAAGAGGATTTTTTTTTCCTGGCTGACTGGTCATGCACCACAACATCAGACAAATATTCCTGCTGGCAGCTGATGAGACCGTAACATCTGTCTGTGAGTCCAGAGATGAACAGGTGTGAATTTTACCTTGTTGTTCCTCATTGTTCTTTATCTTGTTAGAAATTCTCTGGTGTTTCTTTTTCTTCTGTTACTTTTATTTCAGAAGCTGCATTTACACTGTTGCTTATTTTTTGTACTTATTGTTGAATAGTTATTTTTTTTAATGTGCTTGACCTAGCTCTGTTTTTCTCTTTTTATGCTAGCTAAAAGCTAGTTAGCTTTTAGCTACTGATCTGCTACTTTTAGTTGACCTTTTGCCACATGTGCTTCTAGCTTGTTTATTAATAGTTTTTAGCTATAGCCTTTTGTTGCTTTTGAATTATCCTTTTGATGCGTGACAAGCAAACTTTGAAACTTTTAGTTGGCCTTTTAATACTTTTAACTTTTACCTCACCCTATGATACTTTTGACTTTAGCTAAATTTTTGATACTTTTAACTTTGTTTGCCTTTTTGTTACTTTTCAACTATTCTCTCGATTTCTTTAACTTCTAGCAAAAGCTTTGCTACTTTTAGCTAGTATTTTGCTACTTTTAGCTGTTGGCTAATATTATGCTTCTTTTGGCTAACATTTAGCTACTTTTAATGTTTAGTTAAGATTTAGCTACATTCACTTTTTAGCTAGCTTTTTTCTACTTTTAGCTTCCAGCTACAAATTTATTTCTTTTTGCTAGCATTTTGTTACTTTAAGCTTTTAACTAGCCTTTTGCTACTTTTAGTTTTGAGCTAGCCTCTTTCTGCTTTTAGCTTTAAGCTAGTAATTTGTGACTTTTACATTTTAGTCAGCCTTCTGATACTTCTAGCTGTTATTTTACTACATTTAGCTTTAAGTAATTGATTTGCTATTTGTATGTGTTGGTTACCCTTATGCTACTTTTAGCTTTAGATTCAAGGTGAGTTTATTGTAAATCGCATCACATGTGGTACATAAGGTGGAATGAAATTGTGTACTCAAGGTCCCAGTTACACCCCAAATTAGCAATATATAAAAAAGAAACAGTAAGGATGTAAGATATACAAATTAATTTGTCAATTGATCATCATTAACTTCATGCAGACTCTCCCACTGGTACATTTTCATCTTTAAATCACTTCTTGGTCTGCTGCCTTCATACATCTCCTCCTACATGTCTCTGTGTGAGTGCAGCTACAGCATGCGCTCTCAGGACATTATTACCTGCAGTGTTCCCTCAGTGCGGACTGAACTAGGCAAAAGGGCCTTCTCTCCGCTCCTGTATTCTGAAATATCTTGCAAAAATATCTGAAGCTCTTGATCTTGACCTCTCTAAGGGATTTTAAACAACTAAATTCATGGCAAAAACCAACACAGATCCTGTTTTTAGTATTTTACACCGCTTTATAATGTAGCTGTTTTATTATTTATGTTTTTATTTCATTTCTTCTATTTACTTTACATTTTGCTTTTTATATGATTGTCTACTGTTGTTTACCTCATCTGTGTTCTTTGTTTAAAACAGGTCTCTCTTGTAAATGAGTCCTTGTGGCTCAATGAGACTAACCTGTATAAATAAAGGTTGAATAAATATATGCCAAACAATAATAATATAATATAATAAGGTGCATTATTAGGCTATTATTATTAATATTATATTATTGTTACCACATACGTAATAAAGTACATTTAGGCTCACACTTTGCTAATTCTAGGTTTTTGTTAACCTTTTGCTACTATTAGCTTTGTGTTATCCTTTTATACAGCTAGCTTTTTGCTATCTTCAGCTTCTCTGTGGTTTCACAGCTCAATTTCAGCTGTCCTTCAGCAGTGTTCAGTTCTTCATAACATGTCCACAGAATACCACCTAAAAATATCTGAACTTGTCTTTTAATGAAACAGACTAATGTTACATGTTGTGTTTTAGTGAAAACAACAGAATGTTTTGTTGTATTTTACACATTAGCCTCAGATGGGACTCATCGCTTCCGCCACTTTGATGGGCGGGCTCTCGCGCTCTGCCCTCCCGCGCCTCGCGCTCATTGGTTGACGCAGCGGTATAAAGTCCTGCTGCGCGCGCCTCCTCCAGATTGCAGGTCAGGTTTACTCGCAGGAGCGCAGGGTTAGATCCGAACCGGGACTTGCAGAACTCTCTCCTTCTCCTGCCTCCCCCCCGGGGTCTCCGTGTTTCACTCTTCTTCACCATGAAGGAGAGACGGCTCGCGCAGCCTCTCGCGGCCAGGTGTAAACTGGTTCTGGTGGGAGACGTCCAATGCGGTAAAACTGCCATGTTACAGGTGCTGGTGAAGGACTGCTACCCGGAGGTAAGATGCTGCTGCAGCTGCAACATCTGGAAACTGATCGTGTCATTTATCCCGGACTAACCGGGACAAATACTTTTAGAGTTTGTCCTAAATTTATGCTTTAAACTGATAAACATGAATTTTATGTTTGACTTCATTACTCCCAGATATTTTAACATAAACCCTTTCATTAGAGAAGAAACACGTGAGGTGTTGCACACGTGACCCCCCAAAATGTCAACTGATTTAAAATTAAATATAATTTTTGATCCATGACAGAAAAAGTGGACAATAAAGATCAGCTCCTTGCACATTGAACTCATTAGTGATGGACTTTTAGGAGATGTACATCAGATGTTTAATATTTGTCCCCTGTCCACCTGTAGACATATGTCCCCACGGTGTTTGAGAACTACACGGCTTGTCTGGAGCTGGAGGACCAGCGGGTGGAGCTCAGCCTTTGGGACACATCAGGTGAGCATCTGGCCGACTGATGTCTTCAGGCATCCATCTTGGAGTTTTACAGTCGGGTTGGAGCAGCGAGTTAGTTTCTGTCCTCTGGTCAGGAGTCGGGGACGTCTCATTCTTTTGTTTTGTTACGTTTGCTCAGATCTCACAATCAGTCCTGTTCTCCAGTGGCGCCTCCAGACATTTTTAAATGGGGTGGCCATGTGCGGGGGGCCACAGGGTGGCACCACCAAACCTAAAAAAAAACCCACAAGATAATTTCAGAAGTTCTATTATATTGTTGTAAAACAGAGAATTAAAAACTTTGTCGATAAGAGAGTTAAGAATGATCAGTTTCTAATTTCACAGGAAATTTGACCGGTTATTTGACGCGCATAACCCAGAACAGAACATCTGGAGTTCCTCAGCTGTCCAGTTTTACCGTGTTCTGTTGAAACGCCGTAATTCATCCTAACGTTGTCCTTTTCTCTGGGAAAAAAAGTCAAACTTGTATGTTTAATTTGAAGCGGTACATTAGACAAAACGTTTACTAAAAACAAGTTCACTAAAGTTCAAAGCCACCGCCTTTAATTTTTTTAAATAAACATCTTTATTAGTTTTTGTCGTGTATTTTTGTGAGCAAAAACATAAAAAAATGTCCAAAACTAGGGATAAGACGGGGGAAAACACAATCATAAACCATAATCATTTTACTATAGCATTATCTCAAACTTGATGCTATTTAAGATTAGAAGGACTGATTTAAAGTTGTTTAATTAAATTATACATTAATATTTTTAACTTTTAATTCCTCAATTTCTGTTCATGAGGTTTTCATTATCTTAAATAAGACATATTAAACATGCAAAACGTTTGGGACTCAAGAGGATGAAACGTTTTTTTTTTTTTGGTGGGGGGGTCAATTGTTGTGGGGGGGAGCCACCCCCCACCCCCCCTCCATGGCACCCCTGCTGTTATTACCTGGTGAAGCTGGTGAAACCTGCTCTTCTTTTCTTGCCGACTATTCAGGACGTAGAGTCCATCAATGTGCACGTTGTCCTTCAGATGTCACAGGTAAAGCACTCTTATCGACTCAATTTAGGCTTTAACCTTTTATTTATTTATTTATTTAATTTTACAATTTTTCCAGTAATTATCAGTTTGCTTGTTTTTTCAGACCGGGCATAAACACACAAAGATCAGACCGACAGTGTCTGTTTCTCATCATTGCATGTGCCATGTCTCAACAGAGGTGTGCTTTGTGTTTTGGCTTTTGTCAAAAGACGTATTTCTGTCGTTAAACGGAGAATCTAAAGGCCACGGGTGGAACACGTGAAGATATTCAACATCACTTTTCATAATCCGAGCACAAAGTGAGAAACTGCTCTGCAGCCTGATAACTACAGAGTCACGAGGAGATCATCTGCAGCAGGTGAATGGGATCGATATGTTAATCAAGCAGCGAGGGTGTCTTTCATAACGGCGACATCACAGCCGAGGCTCAGAGGAGCGGTGCCAGGTGTCCTGCAGAGGGGTTGTTTCACCGAGGGAGGAGGGGGATGCCTCCACCATGCGGGGGGTGGAAGTCTGCAGGAGTGAACATGAGCAAACGGTGTGAACAGAAGGCAGAAGTGACTGTAAATATGTGCCTGACCTCCTCTTATGCAACAGAAGGCAGCGCTGAGCTACTTTAGGCTTGTTTTTGTGTTTGTCTCCCACGAACAACAGTTTGGAGATGGCCACACTTCCTGAAGGAGGCGTTGCATAAGAATACATTTGTCTCGATTTGTTATCTCCACCAAACAAAAGTCAAGAAGCTAAAGGCTTTCATCACACCGTTAGATCAGGACAGGCTGAGTAAAGGCAAGAAAACTGATCTTTCTTAAAATGTAGTTTCAAGCATCAGTTTATTCTTTGCATTTGAAACGGGTACTTGTCTGATTAGTTAATGTTTTTTTTAACGTAAGCTTTTCTACATCAAACGTTTGTTTTAAAGTTTCTGTTTCGTGGAGACAGTCCGATCGTTGTCTTGGCGTGTGACGATGAATACAGATTCCTTTTTTCTTTGAAATTCAACCAGACAATTTCAGCAGATCAGCTCGTGTGTGTGTGTGTGTGTGTGTGTGTTCTGGCAGGGGGATGCGAGTGCGTGGGAGGAGGCTGGACGTTGTGGCCTCTTTAGGTCTGTCTGCCTCCTCTTTCTCCAGCCTTACATCACCCTGCACGCTTCGATGTGCTCAGATTCCCTAAAACAGAAACGTTATTGATAGACGCTTCTTGTATAAGGCGTCCTACTTGGCGGGGGTAAATGAGCAGTTCAGACCTTTAAAAGTGGGGTGAAAGGGTTACAGACAGTTAATATCTTACCTGCTGTAGATGGCGCTTTGAACAGTCTCAGGTTGGAGGAATGGGGTTTGATTTTGTCTGGACCGACGAGCTAACTGCCAGTCTGGTCGTCCAAGGAGCTATCTACATCAGGTAAGATAGCCGTTGTTTAACCTTTTCACAGAGCCCTCCTTTAAAACATCTGAACGATCACTGAGTCGGTACAGCAGGAGACCACTTCCTGTTCTGTCAGTCCAGGTACCATGATGTGTGGGCGACATGAGGCTGGAGAAAGAAGCCCCCTTCAGAAGGGTTGAACTGTGATCTAGACCTGCTAAATATAGCACACAGCCATTTTTTAATTACAATGTAAATAATAAACATTTTATTAACTTCTCGGGGGAGCGCAGACTTCATCAGGACAACATGATTATTAGTTCGTCCCACAAAGACAAGGATCTATTCCTGCTTTAATTACATCCTGTGAATTTGTCAGGAAAGCTTCTTGGGCACATTTTACCCACGAGGACAGGACGAGGAAATTGGATCTGATTGTTTTGTTTGGGGTGGGGTGGGGGTGGGGGGTTCAGGTGGCAGAGGGAAGACAATAAAGAGCGGACATCCTGCCAAACTGTTTTTAGCTCCTGAGGCTTCCTGAGAGTTAAAATAAAATGTGCTGTTGATGGAGAGGGATGTTAAATGTTTCCTTGACTCCAATAACTGGTGTGTGTGTGTGTGTGTGTGTGTGTGGGGGGGGGGGGGGGTACTATGGAGCCCATCATCATCTGTGGGGGACAAAACCAGAAGAACCAGCTCATTTATTGGACAAAAGTGTCGAAAAGGAATGTGCTTTTCACACCAGAGTTTACAGACCATGAGCTCTCACGCTCAGAGTTTGTGTTGAGGACGACTCTCAGCTACTACCACATCAAATTTTAGCTGAATATCTGTGAAACTGGCCGAGTTGTAGCTACTTTTGTGTTGGCTATTGTGCGTTCAAAAGTCATTCAGTTGTGGACGTACACCCAGTGACTTAAGTTCTGAGGGTTTCTTTAAAACTGGTTCAGTGGCTCACGAGATATTTTGCTAAAAACAGACACACAAATATGACTCTGTCAACTATTATTGCTCACCGTTTGCCTTTCAGCAGCAGAAGAGTTTTATTCTTTGTTTATGTTAAAAAGGACTTTGTCACCCGCTTCGGGTGTTATCATCCTTTAAATGACTGTTATTAGTTATCATCCCCATACGAAGCGTTCAGACTGCCCCTCCTCTACCTCCTAGAAGGTTTTAAAGGTACGTTATCGCTGATAATACAGGCAAGGGGTTGGGTTAAGAGTCAAGGGTGAGGGGGTTAAGTTTAGGCTCAGTGGTCTGGGTAGGTTTAGGAAAAGGGTTATATAAAGCTAACTATACACTTCTGGTTTTACACGCGAGCCGCAATGCATATTATCAACCATAAAAACGTAACTTTCAACTTACTAGGAGGTAGGAGGGAACAGTCTGAACGATACCTATGGGGATGATAACTAATAACGGTCATTTAAAGGATGAAGCCGCCGACTTTGTTCAGTTTCTGGGATGACCAGTGAAGGTTCAAGGAGGTTTTTCTGTCTGTCAAAGAAATGCTAAATGGACACCAGCTCAAATATGCTAAATAAGTGTTTTTTAAAAAGTTTGAACCTCACTGGGAGCATCACTCTCAGATCCTCCAGGTCTTTTAGTTTCAGAGGCAGAAATGTCTCTGAAACTAACCTCAGTAATTCTGAGGACAAATTAAATTTTATCGTGCTGCTGTGAACCTAAACCCACAGGAGAAATGCCAGATGTTTGCTTCTGACTTTGACCTGAACGATGTGGGCAGAGACTGATTAACTTTTTGTGGAAAAGGTTAAACTTTTATCAGATAATTTGCTCTTTTAAACTTTTTTTTTTTGGTCCCGCAAAGCAAAGAGGGAAAATTGGAAACACTCTTTGTCTGCCCGTCTGTTTGTTCGTACATTTGTGCAAGTTGTGAGCATGATGACTTGAAATATAAGTGAGGTACAACCTCCAGGGGGGTCAAACTGTTATAACAGTGCCCCAAAATTACAAACTTGGTTTAACCAAGGGCCAGTTTTAATCAAGACATTGACTCAAGTCCAAAACCAGACATTTTTGTTTCTTGTTTGCTACTTCAATTCAATTTATTTATATATTTATATATATTTTTTATTTTATATATTTGTATTTATTTAAATAATTTTATTTATTTATATACTTCCTGAATAAGAGTTTGACCAGTTACAATTAACATTTGTTGCCTTTTTCAGGTCAAAATCAACAATTTCTGAAAGTTTCTAGTTGGCCAGCTGTCATGAGAAGTCTGCACGGAATAAAGTATGTTCAGTTTTTAAACACAAGGAGAGGCGATAAAAATATCTTGCGTTTAAAACTTCATCTTGCGGGGCCAGACAAGATGTTTAAAAGAGCCACATTTTGCCCTCGGGCCTTGAGTTTGACACGTGATCTAGGCATAAAAAAAGTTCCTTTTTAAAAACTCGGTTGCCACTTCAAAATCCAAGATGGCCACCGCCATATGGCGCTATAAACTGAACTGAATTATAAATGTACGTGAACCGACCACCCTGATCATCTGAGGAACTATGCTTTCTTTTTATATTGCATATAAGTATAGTTTCTTCATATGATTGGGGAAAATAAATCTGGTGGTCAAGGCCACCATTGGCCACCCCCTGGCTCCTCCATTGCACCTGGTGGTGGATAAAATTGCTGCCTCTACTCACCAGGATCCACTTCTTTGCTGTCCCTGTAGGTTCTCCGTACTACGACAACGTGAGGCCCCTCTGCTACAGCGACTCGGATGCGGTGCTGCTGTGCTTCGACATCAGCCGACCCGACACCGTGGACGGAGCTCTGAAGAAGGTCAGGACCGCCGTCGTTTGCTTCAGCTGGCGTCCAGTTTAATCGCCGTGCTGCTCTCTGAGTCTCGGGTAATGCTCGTTTGTTTTTTCTGTGCAGTGGAAAGCAGAGATTCAGGACTTCTGTCCCAACACTCGAGTCCTTCTGATTGGCTGCAAGACGGACCTGCGCACAGACATATGCACACGCATTGAGCTGTCCAATCAGAAACAGGCTCCAGTCTCCTACGAACAGGTCTGTTTCCTCTCTTTCTCTCTCTGTATTTGTTTGGCTGTTGTGTTAGCAAAATATCTTTTATTGAAACTCCTGAGATCTAAATCTTCATTCCATTCAAGACAAGCAACAAAAGTGTCTCTAATCTAGTGTAGTTTACAGATATTGGGCTGAAATCAGGTGTTGCAGTAGCTGAGAGTCATCCTTTGCTCATCAGAGCACTTTCTGATGATCTCACCATCTTGTGTGACATCATATTTAATGTTGTTTGACCAAAATGACTATGACTCTTATTTCTCATCATAAGTTGACTTTACTTTAAAGCTCTGGCCTGAAAGGCGGCAGGCGATGTGCATTCCTTCAGGGAATATTATTTTTTATGTCTCGTTCCAGTTTTCTGTTTGTCTTCATTTAATCCATCTCATTTTTTAGGGTACGTCACTGGCCAAGCAGCTCGGAGCCGAGGCCTACCTGGAGTGCTCAGCCTTCACGTCAGAAAAGAGCATCCAGAGCGTTTTCCGTACCGCAGCTCTGGCCTGCGTCAACAAACTCCACCCTGCCGACAAACCCAGCCCGGTCCGCCGCCTCTCTAAGAGACTGCTACACCTGCCCAGCAAGACCGACCTCCTCTCCTCCACCTTCAGCAAGGAAAAGTCCAAAAGCTGCGCCATCATGTGAAGGCAGCTCGGAGCACGCTGGAGAAAGGAAAGGAGGGACGAGAGGACTGTTACGCAGGCGACCAGGGCGCGAGGGGAGAAAGAGAGCAACGGTGTGGATTATTTTTTCTACTGCATCCTCCCTTATCTCCCGTCAGCACCGCAGTTTCTGCAAAGAGAGAAAAAATTTGATGTAGAATTTAACAATCCCGAACAAGCAGAGCATCATCCTGCGCACTTTTAGGTGCAGATCCACGTACGTTTTGCTTCAATAAGAGCAGCACCTTCATTTTTTATGTGGAAATCGGCTGCAAACTCCACATTTGACTGAAGGGATGAATCCATTTAAAGATCTGATGGTGAAGTCGTTGGTAAAGGGCGCAGCATGGGCTGAAACACAGGAGCGCAAACTCTGATGGTGACAGGAAGTGATGTCTGCAGAAACGCAGTGAGGCCCCTCCCCTGAAGAACCCCCCACACCCAACCTAACCCACTTACAGTATTTTATTTTGAAATTCAAGCTGACGACAGATGAAAAGAGAGGTGGACAGAAGGGAGAGATTTGGCAAAGACAGAGAGGACAAAGTGAGAGTCCATCTGAAGGAGCGTGACTCAGCACCCACATGAGCCCCAAGGTCGACCAGGGGTGGACACGTGGCGTTCAACATGCTGATCGTGTCTTCGGTCCACTTCCACCCATTACCCATCAGCCACTGCAGCCTTATTTGTCCAGGAAGCCTTGTGTTTTAGTTGTGTAACATTGATTAACGTCTTCTCAGCCTGTTGCATGGAAAACTAAATGAAGTCTGCTTCAAGAACAAAAAAAAGACCAAGTAACAAATATTTGTTTCTAATTTCTCATCCTCATGGATGTTTTGGGTAAATTAGTCCTCAACGTGGGGCTGTAGGTGTGTTCCTATAGTTCTCAACCAGCTCCTGGTACTTCAGACAGATGGTAAAACAATCATTTAATGAGCAGGACCAGGTTCATCTTCTGTTTGATTTTGTTTTCTGTTGTCTAAATTTGGCTCCACAGAGCCGAGAGGCAGCAGCCTCTGATCCAGGATCTGAGTGGCTCTTTTTGTAACGTACAACAGCCGTGTGCTTTAACAAAGACAAGCTGATCGTCTGGAACTGTAGACTGTACATCGACAAGACGACTCAGCTTTTCTGATGCCAGAGATAAACAAAACTAGAGAACTTGCATTTCCTGTGAAAATTCAGTGTGAATGCTTATTGCAGAAGAATTTGCTGAAAAAAAGATGAAATTGGCTTAAAACATTCTGAAATGGATCTGAAATGGAATAACAAGCCTAAATTAGCAAAAGAAAGCAGAAAGAACATGTATTTTCAGAATTAGGTTTAAATAGGCAGAAATTAGCACAAAAATTAGTAAATTAGCAAAAAAAAAAAAAGGAAGCTGAAATTAGCAAAAATAGCTGAAAAGTAGCTGAAAAGACAAAAAGAAGCTTGGCCTACCAGAAAGAATTGCAAAAAACTAACGTGAGCTAAAAAATGTGGAATTAATTGAAAAGGCTAAAATTAGCATCGTATGAGCTAAATAGTAGCCGAAAGAGCAGAAAAAGCTGAAACTAGCACAAAAAAGTTGAAAGGAGCATAACAAGCTGAAATTTGGATAAATAAGTTAATTAGGCTGAAAGCAGCAAAAATTAACACAGAAAACTTGAATTTACCTGAAAACACATGAAATTTGCTAAAAAAAGAAAAAGCTAAAAAGCTAGCGCAAAAGTTAGAACAAGCTTAAATTATCAGAAGAAAGCAGAAAGAACACATGTTTGCCCAATTAGGCCCAAAGAAGCAGAACTGAGCACAAAGAAGTGGATATTTTCTGGGGAGAAAAGCTGAAATTAGCAACAACAAAAAAAAAAATGCTGAAAAGTAGCTAAAAAGGCAGAAAGAAGCTTAAATTGCCAGAAGGAAGTGTAGAGAGCACATTTTTGCTGAATTAGGTTGAGAAAAATTGAAATGAGTGCAAAACATGTGGAATTAGCCAAAAAAGCTCAAATTAGCATAAAACAGCTAATTAGCTGAAATAGCAGAAACTTGCAGAAATAAGCTGAAAGGAGCATGTGAAGCTAAAATTAGCAAAAATATGTTGGAAGAAGCACAAAAATGTTGTAGTTAGCAGAAATAAGCTGAAAGGATTGCATAACAGTTGAAAGTAGCTGAAAAAAAGTTTAAATTTTTACAAGAATGCTGAAAGAAGTTGAAGCCGAACAAAATGTGAAAGGAGCAGTAAAAGGTTTTAAACAGAGCTAAAGACTTGAAGGATGTAAAATGAGCTCAGTTCAATTTCAAAAAAGTGTCAGAAAAGAGCTAAATATTTCAAAAGCTAAAGTTGCACCAATACCAAAAGTCACAGCAGGATTGTCCTGAAAGAGCTGAAGGTTTTGATATGATTTGTTGAAATAGCACAAAAATTGTGGAATAAGAAATATGTAGAAAATTGTACAGAAGAAAAAGGATCACAATATGCTTCATAAACATTCACTAATATATAAGTGAGGTTCCCTTTCATCTGTTTTGGAGAGGTTTTCTTTTAAACATCTTTAGAACTTTACATCTGGGCAGCTGCACTTAAAAAAAAAAAATTAATTTCCATAAGATAAGTGACAATTGGGCACATTTTTACACACAATATCAATTTCTGTTAATGCAGCCGCACCTTTTGGAGACCAGCAAACAGAAGAGTCCCACTGCAGTGGTTTTGTTTTTAAAGCCACAACTCATTTTTGATTGTTTAAATTATGTGTATTCTCCAAACCCAGTCTGTTAGAGGGATCTGAGCTGAGGTCGTGTGTTCTGCTCAGTACTTCGTCCTCCGTTCCCCTTTGAGCTGAAACTCGGCGTTAAAATGAACCGTAACCTGTTCAGACAGACTGAATGGCTCAGAGCCGATACAGTGAGGGATAATGTAATTAAATCCCACAGTCAGGCTCGTCCCGTTGATCTTGTTTTTATTTATAGAAATGAGTCCAGACTGAGAAGCTGAATCGTTCCTGGCGCTGCTGGCGTTTCTGCTCAGCCTTGTGGCATTATCGGTTGTTGACAGCTCGGCTAATGGAGGACTCTGTGATTTGTGGTTCTGCGCCGGGAAGCCCAACGATGTGCGGGAGCGGAGGAATCTGAACGTGTTGCCTAGCAACAGTGCGAGCCAGGGCAGTTGCTGCCTCTGATGGAGCAGAGGGGCGGCTCTCAGAGCGCCTCACCTTTTCTTGGCGGCATCAGACAGAAGCCTCAGGAAACTAGATGACTGGACACGTGGAGGACAGACGGGCTGTCCCACACGAAAACAACGAGGAGTCTTAACGTGTCTGTGGCTCTGCTGCAGCTTCACCACCATCCAGAACAAGTCGTCACACACACCGACGTCGTTTCACAGATGCTCTTGCTTTCACAGATTTCATTTGATCTCAACCATTTTCATAAAACTGTTGTTTAATAGTCCCCGGCTTGTTTGAATCTGCCTGTCACAGCTTAAGTTATTAAACTAACTGTTTGTTATCGCCTAAAAGTCCTTATTTAAATAAATTTGCCTGAAGTTAATCGGTTAAGTGTCTTCTTCTATGATAAAGTAAATCATAACTTTTGTTGGATGTTATGAGGTTAAGTCAGTTTATTGGTGTCATAAAATTCCTTTCAGTGTTTTTAAAATGTTTGCCAACGTTACATCTAAGTACAATCTTCTGAAAACTGCACGCATTAAGGGAAATTTTAGTCATAATGAAATAAACCAAGGCCTTTGGAGGACATCTTTATCTAAATTTCTTGTGTCGTTCCAGATGACCTGACTTTTCACACAGTTTAAGGGAGTATCAAAAGGATATTTGGGAAATGTGATAAAATTCAAGGCTCCCTGGCAGAGAAGGACTGATGGGATGGCGGCACGTTGTCTCGTCCAACAAATGAGTGATAATACTGTCGTAGTTTTGACATCAGGCCACAGTAGTACACTTACTTTTCCTCAGTAAAAACTGAAAAAAAGCAGATTAAATGTAAAAAAAAAAAAAAACGCTAATAAAAGACCTGAAACTGGGCTTGGGAGCTACAGCAGGTTTTCAGCTTATAGCTGTTTGAGTAGCAGCTTTTCGGTGTAAAAAATAGTTTACGTCTGTAAAATTGTGTCGTGCGAGTCTAATTCTGTTTAAAAATTAATGAAAAGTTTCTAAAGCATTTAAAATACTGATAAACAACAATGTATAATGACACATTTAGTTGAACAAAACACCAAAAAACATAAATAACATGTTTGGGTTGTCCCTTCCAGGCTGCTATAGCAAACAAATACTGACATTTTAAATATGTAACTTTTGTCAAATATTTATTATTTATTAATTTACCTGTAAGGAAACTACCTGACACCATAAAATTATTATTTAAAAAAAAAATCAAAACTAAAAAGCATATTTCTGATGATCTTTCCCTCACCAGTGAGCAAAGGATGAACGGCGGGCGATCATGTTTTCGCCTGCATCTGTAGTTTACAGATACCGAGCTAATATATATGATGCATGCGTGTTTGAGAACGCAGTGGGTGTTAACAGATTACACTTAATCTTTGTTTAAAACTTTGCCATTACCTATTGGAGTCAGCTTGGTTTGTCTGTTAGCAAAATACCTCATGAATGACCGAACAAACGTTAATGAAACTTTCAGGAACTAATCATCAGGTGCACATTTATAACTCTTTACCTTTTCAAGTCAACCCAATTAAAGAGAGCCGCCACAGCTGGTCAACATGAGCAAACACATAAACGGCTATAACTCAAACAGTTGTACAGATATTGAGGTAGACTTTGCTGTGGTGGTGGACGAGAGTCATCCTCAGCAAATAATCTGAGCGCTAACAGATTATGCAGGATCTTGAGCGAGATTAGTTATAATGTTTCACCAATGCTGCTACAACTCAACAGAAGGTGGACTCAGGTGTGGAGGGAGTGATATGCACTCTCCTCTCTTCCTGACACCCATCACTGGATTATCTCAGTCTTTCACTTGACTTGAGTGATTTTCTGTGTGATCAGCGTCTGGATGGTGGAACCACAGCATTCCTCAGCTATCACACAGGATACAGATTATCTGTCAACACAGGATACAGATTATCTGTCACCTTTACACAACAGCAGACAAACCAGCTGGGGGGGGGGGGGGGGGGGATACGCTTCGCACCAGCAGCCTCAGATAAAATAAAACAAATCATCTTGGCTGATTTTATACGGCTAGAAATAGAAATGTGGTTCAATATAGAAAATGGTGTGGCAGCTTGTCTTTATGACAAATATTATTTCATATTATTTCCTCCTGTATTCCCTTTTCTTTTAAGCAGTTTCAGCATTAAATCGTCCCGTGCACGTCTCTGCAAATCAAATAACTCTCCAACAACAGCGGGCTGAGCCTGACATCCATGGCAGCTTGCTCCAAGGCACGTCGGACATGGTGGATGTGGAACATGCTCTGCCACGCCTCAGATTTAGGGGTTTTATGCTGGTTTAGCTGCACGTAAAGATTTGTTTCAACATGTTTGGAAACAAAACTGTACAACTTTT